GGTTTTCCGTCAAAAACGCCTGACTACACAGCAACTACATAGGACTTGGACAAATTTTAGTACTAATTTATATGGAAACTTTTACATAACATAGCCTTGCCATTACATTGGTCTATTTTACGGAAGAATCGGCCCATAAACCTACTTTTTATTCAGTATTTCCCTTAGTTGGTAATTGGTCCCTTAGTTTAAAAAAAGCAATTTTACAAAATACAAATTAATGATTAATTACTAATATTTCATAAAATCCATTTGAACTAAAGAAAGGACGTTAAATCAGTTTACCCCAGTTCGAATTCAACCTTCGTACAGGTCACTTCGGGCACGCAAATAAAAATATTTAATTCTTATCAGTGTTATCTACAGTGCGTGAGTCATAACACACCAGTGTACTGTTCGTCGACCGGATTAACTATGGCGAGTTTCCAGCCGGGGGACTCAGGTATATCGCTCGCTATACCGCTTGTCGAAACCATTGAAATTTTACATGACACTTCTACAACTAATTCTGAATTTGTCGCAAAACAAGTGAACTCCGTTAATAATGTACAACCAGAGTGTAATCAAGAATCCACAATTAATAATAAAACTAAAGTAATGGAAACTGACAGTAATGTACCGCTGCCAATACCCTCTACTTCCAAGGAAGGCTGGACTACGGTTGACAACAGAAAACACAAGAGAAATAATTCCGACTGCAGTTCTGAAGGTAACTACTAAAGCTAGAAAGGTCAAAAAAGCTAGAAAGTAACTACTGGCTGCATTCAACATTGAACAATATCTACAATGTTTTGAATAACATACAGCAGGAACAAACAGTGAATACCGCTGCTCCTATTCCAAAACCGCCACCGATCTTTGTTCATGGTGTTAAAAATATCAATCCCCTCACAGAATTATTAAGTGTAAATGCGCCAGGAAAATATAATATACAATTAATCAACAATACGCAGGTCAAAGTCAACCTCGCAGACGCTGAAACTTAAAATAAAATTCTCAAATTACTAAAAGAAAAAATACCGAAATGTATTCATTTCAGTGCAAATCGGCACGTTCGTTTAAGGTCGTCGTTCGGAACTCACACTCCAGCACCGAAATTGAAGATATCGCCACAGAAATATCAACTCATGGTCACAAAGTAATACAAATCACTAACATGAAACACAGGTTTACTAAGGCTCCTCTGCACATGTTTCTTGTCGAATTGGAACAAAATCCCAACAACAAAGAAATTTACAAAATCGAGTTTATTTGCCGAACTAAAGTGAACATCGAGCCTAAGAATTCAAGCAAATCCATAGTCCAATGTGTTAATTGCCAAAGATACGGTCATACTAAAACTTACTGTAATCTGAAACCGCGCTGCGTGAAATGTGCCAGCGATCACCTCACGAAAGACTGCAGTTGGACCGATCGTACCAATAAAAACGTAAAGTGTGTCCTATGCAATGAAGGACATACGGCTAATTACGAAGGATGCAAAGTCTATCAAGAAATGTACTCTCGCAGATATCCTCCCCTGCGCCCAAAACAAACAAATTCTCCTTCCTCCTCTAATCCTATCACCTCAAACACAGTTAAACCCGGTAGTTCATTCGCTGTAACTGCTCGTCAAAATAGCCAACTACAACAAGATATAAACAATACTGAAGCTATCAACCATCATCAGCAAGCTAACGACATAACAGAGTTAAAATCCATAGGTGAAACTTTAGCGGAACAATTAAGCACAGTCATGAACTTATTAACCGCCGTCGTATCTAAACTCAAGTAATGCAACACTTTCTTCAAATTGCGGTCTGGAATGCCAATGGGTTGGCACAACACAAACCGGAATTGCAAATGTTCATCCAGCTTCACAGCTTGGATGTTATTCTGATCTCAGAAACACACTTTACTTCCAGCAGCTATCTCAAACTTCCCGATTTTTCGACGTACTCAATCAATCATCCGGATGGTACCGCACACGGTGGCTGTGCAATATTAATCAAATCAAACATAAAACATCATGAATCGCAGCACTATTGTACAAAGTATCTTCAAGCCTGCTGTGTTGCCATTAATCATCCTTCAAATAAACTTATCCTAGCCGCAATCTGCTGTCCTAAACATAAAATATTGAGCGAGCAATTCAACGATTTCTTCAGCTTCTTAGGACCCAAGTTTATTGCAGGTGGAGACTACAACGCAAAACACATCTTCTGGGGCTCAAGACAAACCACTACGCGAGGCCGGCAGCTTTACCTCTTTATCCTAGACAATAACCTACTACACGTATCGACTGGCTCAGTGATACATACAAAACACCTGACCTCCTCGACTTCTGCATCACAAAAGGCATCCAACCTCACCACATTTCAGCTAAATCAAGTCTTGATCTTTCTTCGGATCACTCACCAGTCATCATTTCATATAACTCTCTGTCTCGTGTCCAATTAAATAACAGATACTTAACAAATAACAGCACAAACTGGTTTACCTTTCAGAATTACATTGCTGATTGCTTACATTGCAACGTTCCTCTAAAAACCCACGATGATATAGAAGCAGCAGTGTACAACTTCAACAAAATAATTACAGAAGCAGCAACCTTTTCCACTCTAAAATTCCAGACTTTTACTACGCCTGTTTGTCCTATTTACATCAAGAAACTTATAGCCCAGAAGAGAAAACTCCGCAAAATATGGCAATGTACAAGATCTCCAGCCGACAAACATAATCTAAACAAAGTCTCTAGAGAAATCAAACATCTACTGTCTGATGGGAAAAAATAGAAAATTTTCTAATAAACCTTTCTACTACCAACAAATCTCTTTGAAGGGCTACTAATAAACTTAAACGTCCCACACAAAGCAATCCGTCTATTATTAATAAAAATGGGCTATGGGCACGCACCGCACAAGATAAAGCCAATCTCTTCGCCGATCACTTCGAGAACGTGTTCACACCTCATCCACCGACTTGTGACCCTTTTCTGGAGCGCCCAATACATAATTTATTAGCCGAAGAAACTAGCTGCCAGACTGAACCACCACTCAAATTCAGTATCTCCGAAGTCATAGGCACAATCCGTTCGTCAAAATCCGGCAAATCTCATGGAATAGACAATATTAGTATTAAACCTTTACAAGAACTTCCTCCTATTGCTTATAGATACATAACTATACTTTTGAATAGAATTCTAAGAACTCTCCACTTTCCTAACTGCTGGAAGACAGCAAAAATAATCCTTATACCATAACCAGACAAGGACCCAACTGTACCTGAGTCATACAGGCCTATCAGCCTTCTCCCTTCACTCTCCAAAATATTTGAAAAACTAATCCACAGCAAAATTAACAACCTAATGGTGTCTTCCTCTATCCTTCCTACCCATCAATTCGGCTTCTTAAGTGGGCACTCCACTATTAATCAAATACATAGAGTGGTTAACTATATAACTAATTCCTTTCAAAATAAACTCTATTGCTCTGCCGCTTTTTTTGACGTCAGCCAGGCCTGACTGACTTCTTTTTAAAATTAAAACCTTACTCCCCTGCTCAATACTTCCTTCTTCTTAAATCATACCTACTTAACAGATCTTTTTTCATTAGCATAGGTGATCAAAATTCTTCATCTCGGCCTATCCGCTCCGGTGTCTCGCAAGGAAGTGTACTTGGACCCTTGTTGTATCTTTTATACACTCATGACTTACCCGTTACAACTAATACGGTTACAGCAACATTTGCGGATGATACGGCAATTCTAGCTGCCCACGAAGATCCCGCTCTAGCTTTACACCTCCTACAATCAAACCTGGATACACTGCAAGACTGGCTTACCATCTGGAGATTCAAGGTAAACAACCAAAAATCAGCTCACGTCACCTTAGCACTCAGGAAACATACATGCCCACCAGTGACTCTCTTCCATAATATGCTACCCAATAAGGATAATGTTAAATACCTGGGACTTCACTTGAACCGAAAATTCACGTGGAAAACACACATCTGCCAAAAGCGTAAACAACTCGAAGAAAAGCGAAGTCAACTATATTGGTTGCTGGGTCGTAAATCTAAAGTGTCGATGTCAAATAAAGTTTTGATATACAAATCAATACTTAAACCCATTTGGACATATGGCATTCAGCTCTGCGGCACCGCCAGCGACTCAAATGTAGAGATCTTACAGAGGTTCCAAAATAAAATGCTTAGGCAAATCGCCAACGCACCTAAATACACCCCCAACTGGTTACTCCACGATGAACTGGGTGTCTCTTCCATTAGAGACGAGATTTCTAGACTTTGTCTAAAGTATCGTAACAGGCTCACCTTTCACCCAAATAACCTTGCAAAAAAGCTGCTAGAACCAATCCAATTCAGAAGACTGAAAAAGAACTACCCCAACGACTTGTTTTAGGTTTAATAATAAGTACTAATTTCTATTTTTCTTTTTGTTTTACTTTTTGACAATCTACATATCATACTGTAAAGAACTGCATCACTGGATGTAGATCTTAGATTTTTCTTTATTTGTTCAATTCTAAGCCAAGCAATTGATTTTATATCTCCTGTAGATAGATGATCAAATAAAATTATTAAAAAAAAAAAATCTGTTTACCCCCTGGCTGTCCCTCCTTACACTGTCCATGGGGCGAAAAATTACAGATCACCAATTTTAGAAAAATTGTAGAAAAACATTTATAATTAGAAGTTAACTGAAAATTTTACTGAAAATATTTTGACAATTGTTTGTTTGATACATATATGTGTTGCCATGTAGTTCATTTAGTTTTAGCTTATACAGTATAATTACTGAAAGCCAAATTGGACCCTTGTGCCCCGTTCTACAATATTGCATACTTTGAAACGGATTATTTCACAACTTTAAAATGAGACGACGTATACTTTTGTCTATTTAAAAAGACACTTAAACTTGAATAGTAAAATTTATTGAATAGTGTATTATAATGATCACTACGAATTAACAAGCAATTAAGAATCTACAAATTTATTTTCCAGGGTGTAACTTTTCCGGCGATGCACGTGCTATTATCACGATGGTCTCCGCCTTGCGAACGATCTGTGCTTTCGTCGGCTGTCTACGCTGGTACCTCCTTGGGAACAGTCGCTTCCATGTTGATGGCCGGAGCCTTGGCCTCTCACTGGGGATGGAGAGCAGTGTTTTACGTTATGGGGGCTCTGTCGGCACTGTGGTGCCTTCTGTGGATATGGCTCGTTCAGGATACGCCTAGAGCTCAGAAATATATCAGCCAGGAAGAACGAGATATGATTGAAGAATCGCTGGTGGGAGCTGGCTGTGGAGAAAAGGTAAATTATTTATTAACTCCCCGTAGGGCAAGTTATAGTAATCGCAAAAAATCGTAAATGAAAATTTTTATATATCTTTACGTTTTAAAGGTTTGTGAATATTTTAGCATACCTTAGAAAAAATGGATTTATGTGTGTGTGTGCGTGAGCCTGTGCGTGTGTGTGTGTGTGCGGATACAAATTTTCGTCGACGATTTCGGGAACATCAACCGATTTGAATAATTAAAAAAAACATTCGTTTTGTATTGATAAGGAGACGTGCTGATTAGTTTTTTGCAAAGACAGGTCTAGCCGTTTCGAAGATATGGGGCAAAAAGTGCCAAAAACGGTAACTCAGTTTTAAAGAGAACGGAGCGTCCGATTTTAATAATTCAAATAACATTTTACTTGTATTGACGAAATGAACAACTGGTAAAATTTTTGGAAAGACAGGTCTAGAGATTATGGACTCTCAATAAAGATAGGTTAAAAAAGTGTCATTTGGCGGTCAAAAATGTTTATTGGACATATGTACATTAAATTATCAGATATTTTATAGAGATTTGTGTACACATTTGTGTAATTTTTTTTGGATTCCATACCAAGATTTTCAATTTTGAAGTTTATTTATATGGTTCAAACAAATGTCCTTTTCGACAGTATGGAATAACCGATTTATAAAATTGAAAAATCATTTGATTCGTACTCGATCGCGAGGCGTTTTTGCAAAAGGCAATTTTGCCATTTCGGAGGTATGTAGCGCAAAGGGTGTAAAAACGGTTATGTAGTTTTTGAGAGAACGGATCATCCAATTAGATTAATTCAAAAAACATTTTGCTTTTGCGGTGTGCAAGAAATGCATTTATAGAAAATTTAGTAATTTTGAAAATTTTCAAAAAAGTTCCAAAAAATTGGAATTTTCAAAATTTTTCAACGTTTTCAAAAAAAACTAAATATTGGAAAATTAAAACAAAGATTTCTTACAAAAATCGGAAAATATTTCGAAAATTTAAAAAAAAAATCGAATATTTTTAAAAATTTCCAAAATCTCAAAATATTTAGAAAAAAACGTTTTTTTTTAAATTCCGAAAAACTAGTGCGCCCTACTAGTTTTTAATTATTCATTATTTTCATTCCTCGAATGTTCAATTAGGGTACGGGAAGTTTCAGCAATTTGCCTTTGCACGATTCCATGCGCCCCACTAGTTTACTTATTTATTTACATTTATAAACGCCAATCTGCTTAGTCAGCAAATTTATAATGTAACAATAATAATTTCATAACTTAAACTACTAATATAAAGTTTAAATACTAACGTATAATATAATACACGTACACTTTATACATAATACTTTGGTAACATGATTAATTCCACATATTATGTTATTGTGTAAATGCGCTTTATGATATTATTTTTTTTCGCTTTATGTTAGCCTCAAAAGCTTTTTGACGAGTATCGAAATTTGTTCTAAAGACTGTTATGCACGTATTTTTTATGGACTTAGTTCTTTTGACAATTCTATTAGATCGAAGACTTTGCCTAGGTGTGACAAATTCGATCTTTGCTGAGAGTTATCTTGAATCTACGATGCCATTCACAAACTTGTAGATAAAAAGAAGGTCCGTGATTTTTCCCCGGACGGTAAAGTTGTTACTTTTGCTTTTGTTTAAGATTAATGCAGGTTGTGTTCTCCTAGCTTTTTATAGTATGAAAGTTCGACACATATTTTTCAAATTTTGGAGATCAAACTATTGAACAATAGAATAGCATAGGTCAAGTTTATGAAAATCATTGCTACTACTAGTTTTACTGCTGAGGCTGAGAGATCGAAAGGCTTGGAGGATGATTTTTATCTACGTGTTCAAAAAAGCAAAGTTTATTATTTTATTGTCATTACTGCATTTAAGAATGAATGCCTTAAAAATTATTTAACTAATCTTTCATCCACTAAAGACACAAATTATTCTCTTTGGAAGGCAACGAAGAGATTAAAAAGGCCGATAGTACATATACCTCCAGTGCGTAAACTTGATGGTTCCTGGGCAAGAAGTTCAGAAGAAAAATCGGAAGAATTTTCAGAACACTTGAAAAATACATTCCAGCCTCATCCCCGCAGTTGCAACGTAAATGATGAAGATTTTATTCATAATTGTTTGCAGAATGAATCTATACCAGGCCAAATAGTAAAACGCATAACGGTGACCGAATTGAAAAATTATGTCAAGGCTGCAAATCCTAATAAATCTCCTGGACCAGATAAAATTACAATAAAAATGATAAAAGAACTGCCAGAAAAGGGATTTAGATTATTAACAATAATATTCAATTCAATTCTTAGATTAAAAGTGTTCCCTCAAGCTTGGGAAATAGCTAAAATAATTCTTATACCTAAACCTGGGAAAGATCCTCATTTATTGTCCTCCTATAGACCAATAAGCCTACTTCCTTGTGTTTCGAAGATATTTGAAAAATTATTACTCCAACGCATTAAGTCAGAATTGTTGAATCAAAACCTAATTCCAAATCACCAATTCGGCTTTAGAGAACAACACTCAACCATAGAACAGGTACATAGCCTAGTAAATATAATTAACGAATCGTTCCATGCAAAAAAATATTGTTCGGCTGTGTTTTTAGACGTTGCGCAAGCATTTGACAAAGTATGGCACACTGGTTTGTTGTACAAACTAAAACTCTGTTTATCAGAACCGATATTTTCAATAATAAAATCGTTCCTTGAAAATAGGGAATTTTTCGTCAACATTAACAACGAGGAGTCGACCAGAAGAAAGATCCTTTCTGGGGTGCCCCAAGGAAGCGTCCTTTCTCCAACTCTATTTCTTATATACACAGCGGATTTTCCTTTATACTCCGGAACAAGCGTGTCGACATTTGCTGACGATACATGTATCATTACCTCCAATAAAGATCCTGCAATAGCTTCGCAACTATTACAAGAACATCTAGATATTGCTACAAAATGGCTTTCTTTATGGAGAATTATGACAAACGGCTCAAAATCTACGCATATCACTTTCACGCTGCGTATAACTGGTATATGCCCTGCAATTAAGTTAAATGGACAGGATATCCCAGTAAAAGATCTCGGAATACACCTAGACACAAAATTGAACTGGAGAGTTCACATTAACAAGAAAAAACAGCAGATTGATGAACTATTCAAAAAACATTACTGGCTACTAAATAAACGTTCCGAACTATCGACGAATAACAAGTTAATTATTTATAAATGTATTTTTAAACCAGTGTGGTCTTATGGGATTCAACTATGGGGCACCGCCAAAAAAACCAATCTACAGATTATTCAGCGAGTGCAGAACAAGATCATAAGGCAGGCACTGAATGCACCTAGGTACGTTCCCAACTGGCTGATTCACCAGGACAGCAACATAATGACAGTAAATGAAGAAATTCAACAAAAAACAAACAACTACAAAAAAAGAATAGACGAGCACCAAAATTACTTGGCCAACAAAGTATACTCAGAAGCGCGCCCAACAAGACTAAAACGAAAAATTCCAAATGATCTTATAAATTTGTAAATTATTATTATTATTATTATTGTTATTATTATTGTTATTATTACTATTATTATTTTTATTATTATTATTATTATTATTATTATTATTATTATTATCTTACTATTTCTATTATTGTTATTTTGTTATATTTTATTATTTTTCTAGTATTATTTTATTATTCTGAAATTTTATTTATATTATTTATTAATCTTATTTTAATTATTATTTGCTTATATTTTACATTAAATCATATTACGGATATTATTTTCATGTAAATTTTATCCTTTGCTCTTTTATTTATTTAAATTTAGATTATTATTTATCAATATTACTTGATGTTAATAAATTAGCAGTTGTAATAATTATTGAAATTAAAAAAAAAAAAAAAATTACTGCATTTAGTTTTTGATCTTCCAAAAAGTAGGTTTGGGGACAATAACTGAGGATTTGGAAAATGTCATTTCGGCACATGTATTTGACTTCAATTTCAATCTGTTATTTTGGGACCATCTACTTAAGCTTGCGATACCTTCTTGCATAGTTGTTATGTTGTTTTCACTCATGATCTTTTTGTAGATCTTCAAATCGTCTGCGTATAGCAAAAAATCGGATTTAAGATTTATACCTATATCATTAATAAATATCACAAACAAAAATGATTCTAAGTGCGACTTTTGTGGTCCATCCGATATTACTTCTTATTCCTTCGAAAGATGTCTAACTATTTTTACTTGTAGTTTCCTGCCAGTCAAATGTGATATCAGCCACTCCAGAGCTTTTCCCATAACACAGTATTGATGCAATTCGAGAATTAATATATCGTAATTTACTGTATCAAAAGCTTTGCTAAAATCGGTGTAAATTGCATGTACGTCTAGTCCTGAGTTGAAAGCGTTAAAAATGTATTCTGTGTATGAACCCCAATTTGTCATTGTTGATCTCCCGCCAATGATGCTATGCTGTCTATAATAGTAGATTTTATATTTTTAATAGACCAAGTTAATTTTGCGAGTATAGATTTTTTGAAAAGTTCTGATATTGAGGATTTTATGGAAATTAGTCTGTAGTTAGTTAGTTAGTTAGTTAGTCGACAATTGATTTAGAATCTGACTTGTGTATGGCAGTAATAAAAGCTAATTTCTAGTAAACTAGAAAAATATCCGTATTTAGTAATTTCTGAGATATGTGCGTAATAGGTTCACAGAGACTAGCTGAGCAATTTCTGAGGAACATCATGGATAATCCTCCAAGTGCTGCTCTCTTTATGATATTCAGTTTAACAATGATTTGCAGTAATTAATTGTTGTTGACATTAAGACAAGATAGATTGACATCGCGTGTACTGTGATGTTTGTTTACATCTTTGTGTGTTATTCTATTGTCTAATTTGGGAGGATAACCGAATTTTTAAAAAATGATCGAAAAAGACTAATGCTTTGACCGTTGCGAGCCGTAGTTCTAATCTTTGCGATATTCTTTGCAACTAAAAAATCTGAAAAACAAAATCGTTCAATCCAGAGTAGTTAGCTTTATTGAATAAACTTTGATTAAACTTCATTAATGCTGGGTAATTTTTGTCCTCTTCTGTTATTGCTATTGCTCTTTCGAAGCATTGATGTTACTGATAGCCAAGTCAGGTTAAGATTTTAGTTAGGAATAATTGGCATAGAGCTGAAAGTTGGTATAATTCAAAAGTCTACATCGATCCGACATCTGCGATTTTGTTTATTTAAGGCAAAAGGTACAAAATTCTAGTTTTTACTATTTTCCGTGGAAACAATAAGAAATATAAAACTAATATGTTAGATAGATTCGTTTATTATGAAATTTTCTATTAAATTGTTATCTTTCGTTAGAATCACCGTTCCTGAGATATTGCCGTTTGAAAAGTTGAAAAATTCATATTCTTCATAATAAGAACATTTTATACGTCATCAAACGTGTAATATAAGTAAAAAGTAAGAATCGATTGGTTTGTGTTTTAGCATAACTTTAATGAATTTTTTGAAGAATAAAACTATTGTGTCAGCCCTTAATTACTTTCTTTCGTGAGCAACACCTGCCAGCTACGTTATTTTCCTTGCGTGGGAGGGTCACACTAGGTCATCCATATGACAATTTCAAATTTCATTTGCAATGACCTATTCAACATCTGTACCAATTTTCAGCTCAATGCGAATTATTCCTAACTGACCGCCTTTTTAGCTTTAATTCGACTAGGGTATGAAACAAAGGTCTAAAAACTTACCACAAAAGTTTGGAATATGGTTCAGCTGCTGACAGTTTAGAGTGGCAAATTCTTCATAGATCAGCATGTTACATTCGGTTTATTCAATATTATTTGGTAAGTTAAAATTTTCTTACAGTAGTATTTTAGATTTGGTATATTATTCGCGAATGTATGATATTGCAGATATACAGTTAAGAAATTTGGTTGATTTAGGAGGCATGTAGAAGCAACCGAAAATTATGTTATGTTTCTTGACGTCAACTTGTTCATTGTTGTTGTTCTGCAGATCTGCAGTAGTATTTGCTCAATTATGTATCTTTCCACTGCTGTAAATACGCCTCCATTCTTTTGACTCTTATCATTAATGCTATATCTTTATATTTTAAAATTATCATCAATAATTTTCCGTCTGCACTACTGGGCTTAAGTCAAGATCATTCATTTAGAAACTAGATTCTGTTATGTATCAATATGTAGTGAGGATAAATCATTTGATTATCATTAGAGTGTTTTTATTAGATGGGAGTTTAACTAAAACTATTGCTATTACAATATTATCTCTTACATTTTCAGACTCCTGTTCCTTGGCGATCCTTGTTCACGTCCAAGCCATTTATTGCAATTATAGTAGCGCATACTTGTTCGAATTGGGGCTGGTATACATTATTGATAGAACTGCCTTTTTATATAAAGCAAGTGCTGCATTTTAATATCAAAGAGGTAAGTGAAATTTTATTTACACGAATATGAAATATATAAACATAATAATATACGCTGATTTTTTACCATAAGTTCTGTACAACTCTGAGCTGGACTCACTTGTTGATATACAGTCATACTAAGGACACACATTTTACTGTTTTATGGGCCAATTCTCGAATAAGATAGCTGTTATGTTACTGGTCTTTCATCAGTGGCGTAACTAGACCCTCCGGGGCCCGTGGCAAAGTCTTCCGTTGAGACCCTAGCGTGATGCTCAATTTTTAAATTATTAAATTATACAAAAGGTAGAAAAGTAAAGTATTGATTTAGAGGTATCATTATAATTTAGTATTGATTATATAAAAATAACAAAAAATACTTAAAACTTAATTTTTATTGAAAATCAAACATGAACTATTGGTGAATATTTTCAATGTTAGAATGAATGGAAATTAAAATAAATTAATTATTACATAACCTTCTATTACACATTTCTTTTTTTACTGTAATTAATTTTATTGATTAAGTAGTGGCGTTCGATCTTTATAAAAATTTATGATTCAAACAATACCCCTTTATTGAAAAAAGTATTTTTTTTAACGAAGATGTAGACATTTGTCATCTAGTTTCTTCTTGAAGAAACAATAATTAACCTTAATGAAATAAAAATAAAATGATAACTTCAATAAGCTATTTAGTAAATAAAATCTTTTTTTGCTGCTTTCAGTTGCGTAAAAGTGTCTATTCTGAAGAATTTCCTATTTCCTAGCAAATGGTTCAGAATCTGAACAAAAGTTTTTTTTTATGGTGCTGATCTATTAAATTATAATTTTAAAATTTGTTTATTCTGATTTTCTGATATGTCTTTTTTAACCAAACAAATTATAGAGCATTAATTTAATTGATCAGTATCATTGAAAACAAGATTTAATTTGTTTAAATGATGTCCAATACTCGATGAAATATATTTACTTTGGACAAACTTTCAGTATCTTGAATATGAATTACCAAAGCTTTTCAAAATAGTGTATTGCCTTCCTGTGACGAGTTTTAAAAAAAATCATGATTGATAAATCATTTTTCTACTACACTAGTGGCATCATCAAACATAACTATAACAATAATGTATTTTTTGAATATTGAGCAGGAGCGTAGCTACCGCCGTATCAGCCGTATCAAAAATAAGGGGCCCAAAAAACGTAAGCAGAAATTGATTAAAACTCCAATACCAAACAATGATTTATAAAAAATTAAATAATTTGGACGTAGTTAGCATTTTCGTTTGTTATCGAGAGGTATTCAACTTCAACTTTTAAACTAATGCTTTAAAAAAAAAATTTATACTGCAAAACATTTGAAAAAGATTTTAAAACTTTGTATGTTTCACAATAAAATATTGCATGCTTCACGATACGATGATATTTAAAAATAAAACTAAACTAAATTGCGTAAAAACTTTTGGACAGAAATGTCTACCAGACCTAGTCTGTTGTTCCTAGAGACAGAAACTTTAGAAAATTAATTAATAATTTAATTTTTCGAAAAAAGATAAGGAGAGAATATTTTAATCTGAAATCATTTATGAAAAATTTAGAAAATTATAGAAAATTAGATAGAAAAACAATTAGAATAATAAAGTATTCTTCTATTCTTCTAACTTTTTGTATTTTTTTGTGATAAAAAATTTCTTCTTAAGGGGGCTCCACACAAATTGTGATACGAGGCCGAGCGAAGGCACGCTATGCTACTGATATAGAGAAAATAGTTCTTTACGTTTTTTATCTTAAAAGTCGATAAAGTATAAATTATTAAATAAAAAATAATAAATTCATTAATTCATTCTTGCAATCATATTACTCGTATATAAACTAAAGATTTTCCAACGCAGATCCATCGCAGTTCGTTATCGCATGAAAGATAAAACACAATACTGTCGTTGTACGGCGGCGACTCTTTTGGTTTTAACTATTCGATATTCGGCCCAATGTAAGTTCGATGCAAGTTCGATTTATATCTTTTTCAGAATGCCCTGGCCACTTCTTTACCGTTTTTGACGATGTGGCTATTCAGTATGATGTTGAGTAAATGCTTAGATGCACTTCGAACAAATGGGTCCTTATCAACAACTTCAGCTAGGAAAATCGCTACATTGATTGGTAAAATATCTATTATTATACATACACAGTGCGCGTGCACGTACACACACATACACATATTATATATATATATATATATATATAATATATATATATATATATACATACATGTATATATATATATATATATATATATAATATTCTATTCTAATTATTAACTTCCCGTAGGGCAAGTTATAGTAATCGCAAAAAAATCGAAAATGAAAATTTTTATATATCTTTACGTTTCAGAGGTTTCTGAACATTTTGGCATACCTTAGAAAAAATGGATGTATGTGTGTGTGTGTGTGTGTATGTATGTATGTATGTATGTATGTATGTATGTATGTACGTGTGTGTATGTATGTGCGGATACAAATTTTCGTCGACGATTTCGGGAACACGGATCAACCGATTTGAATAATTCAAAAAAACATTCGATTCGTATTGATAAGGAGACGTGCTGATTAGTTTTTGGCGAAGGCAGGTCTAGCCGTTCCAAAGATACGGGGCAAAAAATGCCAAAAACGGTACCTCCGTTTTTAAGAGAACGGAGCGTCCGATTTGAATAATTCAAAAAACATTTATTTGTATTGACAAGATGTAGAATTGATCAAATTTTCATGAAGAAGCAGGTCTAGCGGTTTCGGAGATCTAATGAAAAAAGTAAAAAAATGCCATTGGGCGGTTAAAAATGATCATTAGACATATGCACATCAAATTATCAGATATTTTATAGAGATTTTAACAATAAGTATAATTTTTTTTTACATTTCCATGGGTTCTGTACCAATGCTTATGCGTTAGACGGCGGCGCGGCACTTGCGAGCTTTGACATTTCGTCTCTATGCAGTTCAAGCAGTGCGATTGCTTTGAAAAAAAGTTCAAAATTTTCAAAATATGTTTTAAAAAAATTTTTTTTCTCAAAAAAATTTTTTTTTATTTAAATAAAGAATTATTTTTTTTCAAAAAAAAAGTAATTTTTTGTCAATTTTATAGTTTCTCAAAAATCTATTTTTTCGAAGTAAAATTTTTTCAAAAATGTTAATCGTTTTTAAAAAAATAATAATTTTTGGTACGGGAAGTTCCAGCAATTTGCCTTAAGGCACGATGCCCTAATTGCCTTAAGACAGAATTCCACTTACAGCTAGTATTTAACTTCCCGTAGGGTAAGTTATAGTAATCGCAAAAAAATCGAAAATGACTAGCTGTAAGTGGAATTCTGTCTTATCAGGCAATTAAGGCATCGTGCCTTAAGGCAAATTGCTGAAACTTCCCGTACCAAAAATTATTAATTTTTTAAAAACGATTAACATTTTTGAAAAAAATTTACTTTGAAAAAAATAAGATTTTTGAGAAACTATAAATTGGACAAAAAAATTACTTTTTTTTGAAAAAAAAATTAAAAAAAATAAAAATATTTCTTTTATTTTTTTTTTGAAAAAAATTTTATTTCTTTATTTTGACATATTGTGGAAGCTCTGAACTTTTTTTCAAAGCAATCGTACTGCTTTAACTGCATAGGGACAAAATATAAAGCGCGTAAGCGCCGCGTCGCTGTCTAACGCATAAGCATTGGTACGGAAACCCATAGGAATGTTAACAAAATGTATACTTATTGTTAAAATCTCTATAAAATATCTGATAATTTGATGTGCATATGTCTAATGATCATTTTTGACCGCCAAATGGCTCATTTTTTTACTTTTTCCTCCATATCTCCGAAACCGCTAGACCTACCTTCATGAAATTTTATCGATTCTTTATCTGTCAATACAAGTCAAATGTTTTTTGAATTATTCAAATCGGACGCTCCGTTTCTTAAAAACTAAGTTACCGTTGTCGCACTTTTTGCCCCGTTATTCGGAACGGCTAGACCTGCCTTCGCCAAAAACTAATCAGCACGTCTCCTTATCAATACGAATCGAATGCTTTTTGAAATATTCAAATCGGTTGATTTGTGTTCCCGAAATCGCGACGAAAAATTTGTATCCGCACATACATACACACACGTACATACATACATACATACATACACACACAACACACACACACCACACACACACATAATCCATTTTTTCTAAGGTATGCCAAAATGTTCAGAAACCTTTGAAACGTAAAATATATAAAAAATTTTCATTTTCGATTTTTTTGCGATTACATATAACTTGCCCTACGGGAAGTTAAAAATTTTATATATATCTTTACGTTTCAGAGGTTTCTGAACATTTTGGCATACCTTAGAAAAAATGGATGTATGTGTGTGTGTGTGTGTGTGTATGTGTGTGTGTATGTATGTATGTATGTACGTGTGTGTATGTATGTGCGGATACAAATTTTCGTCGACGATTTCGGGAACACGGGTCAACCGATTTGAATAATTCAAAAAACATTCGATTCGTATTGATAAGGAGACGTGCTGATTAGTTTTTGGCGAAGGCAGGTCTAGCCGTTCCGAAGATACGGGGCAAAAAGTGCCGAAAACGGTAACTCAGTTTTTGAGAGAACGGAGCGTCCGATTTAAATAATTCAAAAAACATTTCACTTGTATTGACAAGATGAAGAATCGATAAAATTTTTATAAAGGTAGGTCTAGCGGTTTCGGAGATATGGAGGAAAAAGTAAAAAAATGAGCCATTTGGCGGTCAAAAATGATCATTAGACATATGCTCATCAAATTATCAGATATTTTATAGAGATTTTACCAATAAGTATGAATTTGGTTTACAGTCCTATGGGTTCCGTACCAATGCTTATGCGTTAGACAGCGACGCGGCGCTTACGCGCTTTATATTTTGTCCCTATGCAGTTAAAGCAGTACGATTGATTTGAAAAGAAAGTTCAGACCTTTCACAATATGTCAAAATAAAAAAAAAAAATTTTTCAAAAAAAAAAAAAAACAAAAAAAAAAAATTAAAAAAAAAATTTTTTCAAAAAATAGTAATTTTTTGTCCAATTTATAGTTTCTCAAAATCTTATTTTTTCAAAATAATTTTTTTTTCAAAAATGTTAATCGTTTTAAAAAAAAAATAATTTTTGGTACGGGAAGTTCCAGCAATTTGCCTCAAGGCACGATGCCTTAATTGCCTTAAGACAGAATTCCACTTACAGCTAGTTTGTGTATATGTTACGGTAAAAGTAAATATTGGGGCAAATGTAATATTAAAAAATGAAAATTCAACTTAGAGTTCATCTTACACTTACAACTTGAAATGAGAGAAATGTGGATTATATTCACATTGACCGTGTCGTTTTGGTACATATGGAACATATGTGATACCAAATAGCATAGTAAATACCAAATTGAAAATTTCTTGATGTAATTTAAGATATACAGAGAAATTATTTGTTTTATTTCCATCGCATTGGTTCTGAAAACTAGGTTGAAAATTAATATGCGAAGAAAAGTATGTTGCGTTTGTCATTCACATTTTCAATTTAAAATAATTTTTGTTATTAAAGTCTTTTTCTTTAGGGTAAGGCGCAGTGTAAAGGTCCAATTTGACCATGACCAATTATATTGTGCAAACCAAACCAATTAATAACAAAAGCAAAACAACTATCTTATTATGTTCAGTAAAACTGCCAGCTACTTCACCATTGTAGAAATGTGTTCTTTTCAATTTTTCAAAAATTGTAACCCTTTAAGCGGTATAAATTTGGACGACCAGGCGACTAACAGGTCTAATGTTCAATTTTTCTTTTAAAGGTATTTTGTAAAAGGGATTTGGTATTTTGTAAAAAAATATTCATTAGCAGAGTTGGAATAACTATTTATTTAATGTAACTTTTGTAAAATTGCTTTATTTAACTTAGTTTATTTTTATTCGCTTTTTTATTTTTTACACTTTTGTTATTGTAAAGATTCAGTTAGTTCTTCTTACCTCATCCAGATGTGAACTTTTTATCTTACTCAGTGCGAGCTCTATTTATTAAGGTTATATAAAAAAAGGCCAAATCTAAATTAACGGGAACGTTACATCTTTAAAACTAGTGGGGCGCATGGCATCGTGCCTTAAGGCAAATTGCTGGAACTGCCCGTACCAAAAATTATTTTTTTCAAAAGATTAACATTTTTGAAAAAAATTTACTCTGAAAAAATTAGATTTTTGAGAAACTATAAATTTTTGACAAAAATTTACTTTTTTTTAAAAAAAAAGACTTTTTGAAGAAAAATTTATTTTGAAAATTTTGGAAATTCTGAACTTTTTTTCAAAGCAATCGTACTGCTTTAACTGCATAGAGACGAAATATCGAACCGCGTAAGCGCCGCGTCGCCGTCTAACGTATAAACATTAGTACGGAACCCATAGAAATGGAATACAAAATTTATACTTATTGTTAAAATTTCAATAAAACATCTGATAATTTGATGTGCATGTGTCTAATGATCATTTTTGACCGGCAAATGGCATTTTTTTACTTTTTTACTAGATCTCCGAAACCGCTAGACCTGCCTTCATGAACTGAGTTACTATTTTTAGCACTTTTTGCCCCGTATCTTTGGAACGGGTATAGCTGCCTTTGCCAAAAACTAATCAACACTTCTCCTTATCAATACGAATCGAATGTTTTTTGAATTATTCAAATCGCTTCATCCGGGTCCCGAAATCGTCGACGAAAATTTGTATCCAAACACACACACATACACGTACACACACACACATACATACACACACATAATCCATTTTTCTAAGGTATGCCAAAATATTCAGAAGGTTTTAAAACATAAAAATATATGAAAATTTTCATTTTCGATTTTTTTGCGATTACTATAACTTGCCCTACGGGAAGTTAACAATTAAATAACTATAATTAATAATTAACTAACAATTAACTAACTTATAATGTAAGGGTCTGGAAAACTAAATGTAAATGTACCTAACGTTTTAGTAAATGTACCCATTCTTGGGTAAAATTGCACACAAAACTCACTAATTAGTTGCTGTATATTTGACATCTTTCGATACTATTATTTTTACGAACAATTCTCATAGCGTCCTGCTGCCCAATGTGCTGCTTGCTCCTGCTCGGATTTGTTGGTTGCCAACGGAGCGCTGCCGTTGCTCTGATGGCACTGGCGGTTACAACTAAAGGAGCAATGTTTAGTGGATTCCTTGCAAATCATATAGATCTGGCACCAAATTATGCAGGTAAAATTTCTTAAGCAATCAATATCCATTATTATCATCAGTCCCCATAGAGACCTCATTCAATTCTATGGACAACCTAAGCAACCTAAGCAGTCGTGATATTCATTTTTGCCTATTATATATATATATATATATATATATATATATATATACAGTGACTCACAAAATTGATCAAATCGCATATTATTAGCAATTGATAACCTGTTTTTTCATATTTTAAATACTTAAATTACAAAACTCTTGCTGCTGAGTTAGAGTAGGAATTGAGTGAACATGCCAAAGTAAAAATAAGTAGATCTTTTTTTTGAGAAAAAAAAAGCAAACAAATACTTTTTAAATACATTTGATTAATATTAGTTTTGATTTAATGTAGTCTACTGCAGTCATTTTCCCTTATATTTTCTTTATTAAACCAACCTCTTTTGACATAATGCATTCCCATATCATTATACTTCTACCAGTGAATTGAATCTTTAATTTAATGCCCTAGGGGAAGTAATAATTGAAATTGAATAGCTTTATAGTGTATCGATCATATGTTAGATTTAATATAGTTTAATAAGTTCATTTGCTGACTTATCAATTTTATCTAACTGCTTTTTGATAGAATCTGCTTCTTTTTCAACATTATCCATTTGTGATGACTTTCATTTAATTTCGTTTCTTAAAGCCGCCTGCAAATATAAAAATTAGGTTTAGATAAAAAGATTAATTTAATAATTTAATGATTCAGATTATATTTAGATAAAAAATTATCACAAAGATATATTTATTGCGTACCTGATTATTTTTTAATTTATTTAATTTTTCTTGATGTTTACTATCCTCTCTGTCAACATTATAACATATTTCTTCTAGTTCATGTTGCATGCGTGTTATTTTATGTTTTACCGAATTCATTGTATTATGAACGTCTTCTTATGAATTATGGAATTCTTATTTCTGGTTGCTGTTCGAATCAATAAACAAATCACTCACTTAAAACATCATGAGATACTAAATATATGTTAAATGACCAAAATTTTCAATTCTCCAAAGAGAAGTTTGTTTTCTTGCCAGAAAAATCCAATTTGTTATTTCTCTGTTTTCTAGATTTTTTAAGTATGCACTTCTAAATTGTTTGATACCGAAAATGGAAAATGAGTGGGCTGAGCCCCCCCATCAAAATTTATGGGTGGACTCAAGCCCACACAGCCCACACGGTTCCGACGTCACTGTGTAGAACATAAATGCAAATATAACTTTCATGTAACAGTATATATTGTTAAAACAAAAAAAAGTGAAAAAATAATCGCCAGTAATGTTATAGTTTTGATGGTACTGGTAGAGTTATTATATTTAGAAACTGAAGAAAGTAATTAAGTTTTATCTTTGGATATTTTTAATTACAGAAAAGTTAGTTTTTATATATTTGCATTACAGCCTTTCTATGAAAATAAATATTGACATTTTGTTATAATGTATTTTTCATAATTAGGTCATCAACGAAATTAGCTGTCTTATCTATATGTAGAAATAAATTTTATTAGGTCATTTTAGTAGGGCCTTTGGTTCTTCCTTGTCACAGTTTTACCTTCTACATATTATGAAGGCTGATCTATATTTTTGAGTTTAGTGATCGATCTACTATAAATTTTCTGTTTAAATAGTTTTGAGAAAGGCTTCGGATCTTTCTAACTTAATTCACCATAGTTTCAGCCAATTTACTAGAAACCCTGTACTGGTAACTTTTCTGTTGATGATCTCAAGTTTTGGTAAAAAAAATCTTGGTGGGTGATTTGGATTAGATGACATGGCCATCTTTTATGTGTTCTGACTAAAGTCTACTATTCATCTAGTTTTCAAATTTATTAAACTAAAGTCAAGTCTATAAAGAAGACTCTTTAAAAAGTTTAAGTAAATCGGTTCAGTAGAAGTTGAAAAATCGTTGGTATCGTATCGAAAACAGTTGACGAAAAAATGCGTGAAAAGTATTGCAGAGGTAGATATAATAGAGGAGAATTATCGTGGTCAAACAGCTAAATCTCCAAAAATAAATAAAAATTTGTTATACACATATTCTTGAATTGCGAAGATTTAAAATTATGCAAAAAACAAAATCGACTTTTTTTGAATTTAATTTAATTTTTGGTACAGGAAATTCCAGCAACTTGCCTTAAGACACGTTGTCATGCACCACTAGTTTATATTTTGAGTGAACGTAAAATAGTTGTATCATTTATCAACATCAAATCCAATGTTTCATAATATTTGTGAATGAATGATTGCTGAATAAATTCATTATAGATGCAATGGCAGTATACACGCGAGGCGTATAACTTAAACTATATAATATCCACTCAAAATTGCTTTGAGATATTTTATATTCCTAATTCAAATTAATTTTATTAACAGGAACCATGATGGCTGTAACAAACACATTAGCCACTATCCCAGGAATATTAGTGCCAATAGTTGTTGGACAATTAACACATGGAAATGTAAGTGATCGATTTTAATATTATAAATTTTAATAATCTGTTTTATATAGGATATTTAACAAATCTCAAAAATCATTAGTATTTTTTCGTTGGGCAGTTATTGTAATTGTCCAAAAATCTAATTTTTTTTTCCATATCTTCACGTTTCAAAAGTTTCTGAGCATATTTGGCATACCTTGAAAAAAAAAGATGTATGTGTGTGTAGTATATATGTATGTATGGATACAATTTTTTATCGACGTTTTCGGGAGCACACTCACATTGAGCGGCTCAACCGATTTGAATGATTAAAAAAACATTCGATTCGTAATGATGGGAAGAAGGTCAGCCGTTTCAGAGATACTGAGCTAAAAGTGCAAAAATGGTATTTTTGGAGAGATTTAGGCATTCGATTCAAATGGTTTGAAAAATATTTTGCTTGTGAAGAGACGATTAGTTTTTGTGGAAGGAATTAGTTTTTCTTTGATTTCAAAATTTCAATTTTTTTTCAATTTTTATTTTTTTAATATCAAAAATAATTATGATTTTAATTTTAAATTTCTGGTTAAATGATGATTATTAATTTTAATTTTGTAAATCATTATATATCTTTATATAATTCTTAGAAATATGAGATAAGCTCCTTTGTTCTAACTGCGATTGATCAAGTTTTGTTTGTTTCGTTTTCTTCAAAACATATATAAACGGTGTGGCCTAATTTATAAAGCCTTATTATTTTGTCTAAAATATGAATGTTGAAAGTTACATCATTTATAATTATCTATTAGAAAACA